GGGGAAAAAATTGGATCTGTATTCATATTTGTAAGTTACTCATTATTTACAAGGCTTTGCCTAAAAAAGGTGGGGGGCAAAAATAGAGAGACAAAAAAGGATTTATAGATAACTGATTAGGTACCTAATATTTTTCAAAGAATCCTTCAGAGCAGTTTTCCAAATATTACACAATAGTATTCCATCCTTAATTTAACAATAACAATCAAATATAGGAGGAATATTTCAATTACAGATTTTTTTTTTTTTTTTTTGCTTTATAATAAAAAATAAATCAAGATGAAAACAAGTTTCATAAAAAGAATTTTCAACTTTTTGCATGACATCTCAGTTTGGGGAGAAAAAAAAAATCACTGTACATATACATATATAAAATATCCCACACTGACAGTACAATTCTTGAGTTTCAACTCAGTGCAAACATCAGGTACTAATCTGTATTTACACTGTTTGGTTATATTTCTGGGTTTTACCTGATATGTTGTTGTTTGGGTGGATTATAACTGAAGATAAATATTTAATTGCACTATAATCTAATCTTGGATTTGAATTTAGGCTTATATTTAAGATTGAAAATACTAATTATTAGAAATTATAATTTTCTAATCTCCGTTAAAAAAAAAAAAAAAAAAAAAAAAATGGTTATACAGTAAAAAAAATAATATCCTAAAAATTATGAGCAACCCCAGTATTCTAAACTAAAGAAGCAAATTAATGAGCACTTGCTTACACAAAAATAAATTCTTACTCAAGAATGCTGACCCAGATTAATAGTTTTCCTAGTCTTGGATGCCACAGATACTGGTTTTGATGTTGTCATTATTTTTATCTATTTTTACTATATAACCATTATTTTTATTCTTATCTTATTTTTGGTCTTACTATTATCAATATTATCTTTATTATTACAATGATTATTATTATGATTATTTATTTTACTTTTATTATAATTTTATCACTACAAATCTTTATTTTTATTAATTTATCATTTTAAGCAAAAAAAAAAAAAAAAAAAGCTACCCCACTTATCCTCAAACTTATTTTAATAACAGCATATTTTTAATGAAAATTAAAAAAATTAAAATTAGGATTAGATAATAATTTTCAAATCTTAAATGTAATTTTGAGCCTAAATTCAAATTCAAGATTATAGAGTAATATTTATCTACAGTTATAATCCACCCAAAGAACAACATATCTCACAAGAGCCAGAAATGTTATCCACACAGTGTAAATTCAAATCAGTGCTTGCTGATTGCATTGAGCATGAAACTCTGTGTTGTACTGTCAGCATATATATATATATATATTTGAACACTTCCATATACATTTACTTATATTTATCCATTTGAGAGTATATATATATGTGATAAAAGTTTCATTTTGAAATTATGTACATTCAGGTATGAAACAAAAACAACTCCCTGAAGAAGATTATGTATCTTTGTAGATATAGTTGTTAGGAAATCTATTATTTGATATACAACCAGTCCTTATTAAGTGGGTTCTGTTCCAACAAGCTGGTTGCTCAAAGAAAAGTTGTGCCTGACCACTATTTCAGGTATGTAATTAGTTTGTGTCAACCAGCTTTAGTGTCATTTTTACACCATTTGTAACATTTATACAGTGCAATAATGTACTGAACAGGAAACAAATTTTTAAAAATCTGCTATATATTCTGTACATTATTTTGGTTTGCATACTGTATTTATTTTTTATCTAGTTGAGTTTATTTTGAAGAATAAGAAAACAATTATGATCAAAGATTTTTTACTGCACACAATATAAAATGGTTAGAATTTAAAAAAAAATTTATGGGATTTTATAGCTGGTTATAAAATCAGTCAAATCATTAAGTGAAGAGTGATTGTATTTTTTCATATTTTGATTGAGATACAGTTAGCTAGGCCAATTGTTTTGTTTCAAGGATTACATAAATAAACATTAAAATACTAATAAAATTTGCATAATTTGTTAATCAAATATTAATTATAAACAGTTGTGAATTTTTAGGACCTTATATATATTAAAACCAAAAGAAAATGTCTTTCTCCACAAGAGCAAATAATGCTTGGCAACCAGTCTACTTCAAAAAGAAATGGCAACTTTTTGTAGGAAAATCTACCTAGTCAGTCATCAAAAGGGACATGATTGCCCAAGTATGGATCATATATGGCACTTAACTGACTGAATCACTTCAGGTCATTTATGAGTTGAAGATAATGGAACAAAAGGAAATAAAAGAAAAATAAATTACAACAAATTAAAACTGAGCAACTTCTGATATTACATGTTTAAATAATATATATATATATATATATATATATACACACACACTCTAAAAATGAACTGAACAAAGCATTATGATTGTTATGCCATATAAAAAAAAACAAGACAAAAACACAAAAAAGCAAGATGTAATGAAATAGATTTGTATATTTTAATCTCAAAAATGGATATAAAAAAAATAATTAATATGGAAATTTTCATTTCTTTTGTTTGCCTTTTAAAAGGTGCATAATTTGGCTGTACATCCAAGTTTTTGTGATTTAATTCAATTTTATGTAATTCAAAGTCATGTTTATAACTGGACAATACAATACGCTGCATAGGGAGCTGTGAACAGGTATAATTTCAAGTGTTCATATGATTTGAGTTTTGCAGATTTTACGAGTACATGACATTACATGGGAGCAGGGAGATTTTTTTTTCATTTGTTAGTGATTTTATGATAAATAATACTAATTAGAGATCAATTCTTAAATCTTCTATCAGATTTTTTTTTTTTAAATGTAGGTGAAAATAATCAAATCAGGCTTTAAGGAATTATTCATACAAGATTTTAAATTATATTATTGAGTGAAACAAAATATTTCAATTTGTTTCAATGTAAATGCATAGACTATATAAACAAAGTATCTAATAAAACAAATCTAACCAACTCTATAACCAACTAATTTTAGTTTAGTCCATCCTATAAAGGAATGGTCTCATTAGTTTTCTTGGTTACATAAGTTTACTTTTCAAATCCTTGTGGGTGCATGGATGAATCCCCTACTCTAAATCAGTCACCAATTTTTTAACTAATTTTTGAAAGTTTGGTATTCTTTGAGATTTAAAACGGTTACATTGCAGCACATACACTTGAAACTCAGATTGCTGATCAAAATGTCATTTTTTTTTTTTTTTTTTAATATAAACAAAGTGCATGGATCTTTAGTGAGAGAGAGAAAAAAAATTACTATTAGCATTTGATATGTTACCTTTGAGAACCATTTGTTTTTAGAAAGAAACAAAAAAGATTAAAAGCAAAAAATACAAGACAAGGAATGTAAACAGAAATAAATTTATATATAAAAAACATGTACAAGGTTATCAATAACATTAATTTCTTTCACCTTTCTAGTTGTAAAAATCAATTCATAGGGCGGGGGGTAGACTGAAAGTAACCTTCCATTTATTGCAATGCTATAATCTTTGGTATCAAGTTAGTGTAGAATTAATTTATTACAAACTGGAAACTGAAATGAAGGTTGCCTTAATATAGAAATATGGCTGAGAAACTAATTCATGAATTCTTTATTTAATACAAATGCAGGAAGTTATTTCCTGCACTTGTATTAAATAAGATTATTAAAATCATAGTAATTTTGAGCAGATCATCTTATTTCTTTCATTAACAATCTTAATGCAATTATTAATGAGTTGTACTACTAACAACAAACCTTTTACACGGAGAGGCAGAAAAGTTCTTGGACCAACCAAGCTTTAATTTTGCTCAGATTTTGCGAAGTGGGTTGAGACAAGAATTCTTCAGCACCCTCTCTTATTTAACAATTCTTAATTTCTTCTTTTCAATCCTAAAAGTTGAATGAAATTATAGATTAAAATAAATGAAAAAAAAAATTCTCTTAGCAAATATGACTAAGAATTTGATTTTTAAAGCTTATGTTAACCTTGAATTTCAATATATATTTTTCCCTATTATTTTTCTAACATCTCCATTTAAATCTGTGATAGGTTACTGTCAAATTTGTTCTGTAACTTATACTGTATTCATATTGATTTCACTTGGAATTTAATCCCTTCTAGGAGAAAAAAGTTCAAATAATTTGGAGATTGCTGAATTAATCAAACATTTCAGAAGAGATTGTAAGATTCATTGTTTTCATTCATTAAAAAAAATTAAAAAAAAAAAAAAGAGCATGAAAAAAAATACTTAGAATTCTAATTTTCATTTATATTCAAAACTTTGTTTTCCTGGTGTTGCCTCATCTAAAGAAACCTCTGGGAACTAAGTGACAATACAAATAGTATAGCATAAAAAGGCGGAGGTATGTTGAAAATTAATTTAATGTGTTGCAAGTCATCTTAAGTGGCCACTTAAGAAGCAAACCTATCAAAGGTTTGTTGATAAATACATAAGATCAAACAATAAAACAAAATTACAATTAAAAAGAAAAGTAAAACATTCTAAAAGTAATGTTTTACTTATTGTTTACTCTTTATCTTCAAAGATCCTTTTTGATTGGAGTTGAGTGAAAAGCTGGCCACTTAAGAGGACTTACAACCCTCCCACCCGATAGTAATTTTCGACATTTTTTTTTTTTTAAATCAATTCATCATCCCAAGCAAGGCAATATTGCTACTAAGACACAAGGAACTACTGTGAGTAAAAGAAAGTGAGAAGGATCCATGCCTTCATTTCTTCTTTACTTATGAAATTAGAAAAGGTTGTTTTTATTACATACACTGAAATATGTTAAAACGGTAACAAACAATAGCTCTGTTGATAAAAGCCAGTGAAGCTTAATTTCATAACCAAGGGATGTTTAAAATTACAGACACACAAGGACGAATAAAGTGATTTTTTTATGGCTGTTATTTTTATGACTATCAAATAAAATTCAGTTATAAAAAATGCATATATTTCTCATATGGGGGAAGAATATCTTTAAAGAAAAATTATTCAATTTTATTTACTAAAATTATAAATAAAATTAGTCATGCTTAAAATTGATGGCTGACTTGAATTTTTTTTTTTTAGTAAACAGAAAAAATAGAAAAAAAAAAAAAAGGAAAAGAGAAAAAATAGAAAAAAAAGTGGAAAAGAGAAAAAATAGAAAAAAAAGTGGAAAAGAGAAAAAATAGAAAAAAAAGTGGAAAAGAGAAAAAATAGAAAAAAAAGTGGAAAAGAGAAAAAATAGAAAAAAAAGTAAAAAAAAGTGGAAAAAGAGAAAAAAGAAAAAAAAGAAAAAAAAATAAAAAAAAGTGGAAAAGAGAAAAAAGAAAAAAAAGTGGAAAAAAAAAAAGAAAAAAAGTGGAAAAAAAAAAAAAAAAAAGAAAATGAAAAAAAAAAAAGATGGAAAAAAAGATGGAAAAAAAAAAAAAAAATGGAAAAAAGATGGAAAAAAAAAGATGGAAAAAAAAAGAGGGAAGGAAAATGGAAAAAAAAAAAGAGGGAAGGAAAATGGAAAAAAAAAAAGAGGGAAGGAAAATGGAAAAAAAAAAAGAGGGAAGGAAAATGGAAAAAAGGAGGGAAGGAAAATGGAAAAAGGAGGGAAGGAAAATGGAAAAAGGAAAAAATGGAAAAAAAGAGGAAAAAATGGAAAAAGAGAAGAAAAAATGGAAAAAGAGAAGAAAAAAAGGAGAAAAAAGTAAAAAAGAGAAAATGGGAGAAAAAAGGGAGAAAAAAAAAAAGAAAAAATGAAACTGTGCAATATTAAAATCTTTTCAGTAGAATAATTTTAAAACAGGTAAAATGTTTTTGATTAAACTATTGTTGGTAAAAAAATAAAAACGGAGGTTAAAGACTAGTACACTGTTTTTCTTGTTTATTTATAGATGTAAATAACCGATCATGTAATTAAAAATGTATATAGCCTATTATTATTTATAATAATTACAGATTAAAAGAATTACTACTCTGAATAAACATTCAATTGCATGAGGAGTTTATATTAGTTTTGATTCTTTTTTTTGTCAGAAATAAAAAAATATATTCCCACATTAAAAGGATTTCAAGCAACCAGAATATTCCTTTCATTGTGGTATTTTGAAGATTGATTTTATATATATATATATATATATATATATATATAAATCAGGTTTTTCTCACTTGAAAAACACTATAAACTCATTCATTAAATTTGGCCTCTTAAATAAAAAAAAATAAAAAAATTAGTAAAATGTTATGTGATTTACAATAAGGCCATTTTGAAATGAAAATATGAAAGTATTTGCTTATTTTTATTTAGGATCTATTTTCAATGTAACTGCAAGAGATACATTTCCTTTTATTTATTTTTTCTTTTTGATACATTTTTAATTTACATGTTTTTTTTTTTTGTTTTTTTTAAGAGATTAAAAATATCTGTGAACACTTAAAAAGTCTTTTATATCAAGACAGACTCTTGAATTTTAGAACAATTTATAAAAAAAATAATGTTAGCTTCCAAGCCATAAAGTAGGCATAACAAAGGATGCCTTATTATAAAACCTCAACTCAAACCCATAAAAAAGAAGGAAAAATAGACACATTGCAAAGTCAACAACTAGAATTAGCTGGAATAATTGCCTTTTAGAAAAGTTAAAAATTTTTTTTTAAATATGATTGTAATTAATTATGATTAGCTTTTTTTTATTGTAAGATCAAATTATGAAATACTGAATTTTTTTAAAAAAAAAAGTTTAGCTGTAAACCATTGCAATGAAAAAATATTTCAAGAGTCAGTAGACTAGATTTTGTAAAACTTTACAACATTTAATTTAAATTTTGGATCATATAGCTTTTCTTCTGTCCAGCATTTCATATGTCAAAAAGCTAAATGTTGCAGAAAACATTTTTATTGCATTCACTATTGGACAACACAACTTTTTTGACAAAAGAGTTGATGTTTGTATATCAACTTAATTTTAGGAAGGTTAAATTTATTCTAATTTCAGTGAAAAACAAGCTTTTATACAATATGAAATTAGAAATAACATTAAAAACAAAAAAAAACAAAAAAAAAAAAATAAAAATTTCTAAATTTTTTGTAAAACAAAATTGTGCACATTTTTGGATGGTAAAATATTTACATCAAGATTTTAGAATAACAAACCAAGACAAAATGTATTTCTGTTATTCTATTTTTGCATAAGGAATTAAGAGCTTGTACTAATGAGGTATAATTATAACTCAGAAATTGATTCTTACCAGCATCCTCCTCTTTATATACAAATGGGTATGCAGGAGGTAGGGTAGTATATCTTGATAGATTCTAGATAATATGAGATAGGTTACAATCAATATTCAGAGGAAACTTTATCTGACAATGATTGGCAAAGAATATGATTGAATTAGGATGATAAAAAAAATAAAAATAAAAAGATGGTTGTTTAACATATTCTAAGACAGTAAGGGAGCAAAATGTCCTTAACTATTAATGATTGTTTGGAGAGATATACTATTTTGAGTTACACCAATGTTCTATCACTTCTCAAAAGAAGAAATGAAAAATTACAGTCTCCATTTAAGAATGCATTTTGCAAGGTTCTGAATGACAAACTAAAAGAGGAAAAACAATAAAAATTTAAGAAATTTAAAAAAATAATCCAACTTCCAGCAGTTTCAGCATTTGTAAATAACATCTGGACCTGGACAGAATGGTGGTGTAGGGGTAGGGGGTTATGAAAAGTAAAAACCAAAGCAGAAATTAAAATGGTTAAAAAGCAGGACCAAATATTGTGGGTGACTTCTGAATTTTTAAGATTTCAAACCCTAAAAAATTATTCCTTTGGTAACAAAGGATCAGTCTCAGTGTCATGTGAAGTTTCATTGATTGTATGTGACACTTCACTATGCGCAGAAGCTGTGTTGTGCAAAAGGGACTGTTGTCTGCGACGTTGTGCACGACTCTGATTCAATACTTTGCCCTGAAAAATAATAAAAAAAATAAGTAAATTAATAAATAAACAAAAAAATAGTTATAAAAATTTCTGGATGTTAAGAACAGAAGTATATGGTGTATGTGTATATAAGTATACAGACACACACAGTGTGTGAGAGAGAGAGAGAGAGAGAGAGAGAGAGAGAGAGAGAGAGAGAGAGAGAGAGAGAGAGTGTGTATTTTGGCAGCAACTGTTCTTGTAAAATGTGTTATTAAAAAGGCTGACATTTTGTCTATTAAATTTATTGATAAATTTACTTGACATTTTATGTCTATTAAATTTATTAATTATTTTTTTCTAGCATGTGAATAACATTTTGCAAATGTGACATTTGTTGAATACTGAGTCCATGTTTATGTGGATTGAAAACTTGAACCTAACATGAATTTTGGCTATTCTAAACAACAGTCACATGTATTAAATGTTATTCAAATAGAAAATTTATAATAAATTTAATAGATATAAAATGTCTATTTTTTTTAATATATTCTGTTAACTATTATCAAGGATATTTTTATATGTATCTGTTAAAATGGGTCCTAATTGAGCTATGGTTTGAAATATCTCTCAGAGGGACCATTTAAACACACACAGAAACCTACCAGACTCCACATTTATATTGTTCAAATTCTTAATTTCGAAAGACGAAAAATTTAAAAAATAAAATATTTTAAATACAATGAAAAAAAAATTTGAATTATGTAAACACACTATATATCAAGAGAGATAACTCTTTGTTGCACAAAAAAACCCATCGTTATATTATTAATGTAATGTCTTATCGAATAAATTTAGCTCTCACAATGTTAATATAATTATAGGTTAAAACTATATATTTAATGCATTTGGAACCTAGACTTATACTTACAAAGGTGAAATTACATTGAGAGTGTTGTGCAGTTTTTGTATTTAATATTGTTCAGCATCATTTGGTGATGGTAAAAACACAATTTCCAGTTGTTCTTGGTGGAACCAAAGTAATAGTGTATGGTTTATACAGGCCCTTACTCAGGTCTAATGTAACATCTAAGAAATTGATCACTTTAGCATTATTATTGGTGGTAATATTCAGTTTATGATCCTTAAAGAATTTAATTAGGTCCTTTCTCATCCAGTCTGCTTTTCTTGGTCTCAGTTTACGAAGGAGAATTATCCCATCATCTCTGTATATACCATTGTTTTTTTTTATGTCAGAGATAAATCCAAGTCTCCATAATAACAGTATCTCTACAAGTTTGCATGCTTTTGCAGAATCATATGCTCTCATGGATATGCAAAAGTCTGGGTTATTTCTCTTAGTCCATAGAGTTCTGTCATGGTATAGTATCAGTTTCTGTGCCTTCTTGGTCAGAAATATGACAGTAGTTCTTTGCTAAATTAATGATGGATGGGTATAAGTCAGATATAAAACTGAAAAAATGTGAATTCCTCTTTATTTTTTATATTACAGAAACATTCAATAGCTTTAGCTGTATTTTGCCACTCATTGATACCTAAAGCCTTTTTAGCATTTTTACATGCTCTTTCCATAATAGTTTTGCTGATAATACTGATGTTATTTTTGGATGGATTGAGCAGTTGGTATTATGGGTTATTTAGAAAATTCTCCTTGTGGTCTTTAATCATGATGAATGCCTGTTGTTTGTATAATTTTAGGATTCTATCATCTATTTCCAGCTTGGTTGCTATTGCTTTGGCATCACAGTTGAGTTTTTTCCATGTTGACACCCACTTTTTTTTTATAAAATTTGTTGACTTCTGTATTGACGGCTTTGTAGTATAATTCTGCATCAATGTAATAGTAGTTACCAGTCTTATCTGATTTGATAATTATCTTATAAGATTTCTTGATCTTATCAATGACTTTTTCCCATTTTATGTTATAGGTTGTTGGTGTGGTTATTAAATTTAATATTATTTATCATTGAGAATGACTTTTTTGAATTTTGCTTGGAGTTTTTTGTGACATAAGTTTCTTTTTTTATAGTCGTCTAAGTTTTCTTGTATCAGTTTAGATAAGAATAGCTTCCATCTCATCCTTTTTATAACACTCTCGATCTTGCTTAATAGTGTCAGTTTGCTTTGTCTATTACCAGGGACCATGGTGTTTTTAGTTAGATCCAGTGACAGACCCAAAGAAGTTGAGTTCAATACCTGGTTAAGGCAGTGGAGAACTTTCAGAGGGAAAATTAGCAGGAGATAACTGATAACTGACATCCATCAAACATGGCACGTGGAACTAGAACAGTCTACCCCAGTGATCGAAATAAAGGGTTCAGTTCGAAATTCTAACCACCTGAAGAAGGCCGGAGCGTACAACGGCCGAAACGTGACAAATATGGCGACAAAGATGAGGACAATAGTCCGACTAATGTAAATACTGTAAGTAATACCTCATCTCAGAAATATAGACAGATTATGACCCTTAGTTAAATTTACATCTGCAAGTGTATACTACACAATGATCTATAAAAAATAAAATAAAAAATACAATGCAAATTAAAAGTGCAAAGTACAAGAAGGGAAAAGTACAAACCTTTCGCTTGTCAACAATATTCAGAAGCACAGAAGTAACAACACAGGCCAAGGTATTTGCCAACAGAAAAATCATCACATATTTCCAATTAGTGAGTTCAGTCCTAAAAGAGATACAATAAAATATACTCCCAATACATAGTAAGAAATAAAAACGAAATTTTATAAACACACAGAGAATCTAAACTTCATTTGAGAACTGGTACTACCTTTGTTTACTAAGTGAATTTAAAGAACTGATAAGTCAAACAAAGCACAACAAATTAAAAACCAAGTGAAGTGCTAAATCATATTTGATTTTAAAATATGTTTAGATGAACATTTTAGATTTATTTTCCTATTGTATTTTTTTTAATTTTATTTTAAATACACATCTTATTTGTCTTCTACTTGTACTTTTTTCTTGAATAAGACCTATACACTTTTCCTACATATAAGATTTAAAAGTTTTAGAAGCTAACGTTAAAAAAACAAAAAACAATGAAGCTTTGATTTATTTTGAAAATTAAGAGCAGTAATAATTTTAGATAAATGATACAGTTCAGCTCAGTAGCATTGTCACAGGTGGAGAGCAAAAGGTCTAATTTGATCTTCTGTTTAAGTCTCAGTTCCTGCCCCCAGCCTTATTGTATTGTAGACATAATTGTGTAGTGTGCATCTCACCCCAGACCATGTAGAATATACTTTGCACTCAGTGTAGCATCAGAAAAACCAGGTGCAAAGTTGATAGATGATCAACTGGCCACTGAATGGAGACCTATATGATCAACACAGTTGCACCTGGAATACACACATAAGAAAAAGCTGTATTACAGATATACAAACACCCACCCCAGAGTCATATGGAAGGCAGCCTATCAAACATTGCAGATGAGAATGTAAGATCCACGTTTTGAATGAGGAGATACAGATGCACACACAAGTTGACAGTAATTTACAATGTATCAAAATGAATAAATAAAGAGTAATATTGAATATGAGAGATTAAGTCTTATATGTTTTTCATAGAGTTGACACACCAACATTATTATAACTGTAATAAAGAAACAAAAGCAAATAAAAAAAATTTTAGTCAAAAGAAATGTACATTATTAAGAAGAAAAAAAAAAAAAGAAATAATATTTGTATTTTTCTGTAGATATACACTGGCATACAAATACTTCCAAAGGGAATTTATATTACATTTGATGAAGATCAATATTGAAATAATTGCAGCAGTTCTCCTGGCTGAAAGGAAGTATAATTTAATAAAAACAATCACATGACAATAATGACAAGAAAACAAAATGCATTTATATAAGAAAACAAAATGCATTTATATAAAAAAAAAAAAAAAAAAAAAAAATGTATGTTCCACTTACGGATGCTGATCTCCAAGAATTTTTCCAACAATAACATTTGAGATTCCAATTCCAATCATCTGGATTGAAGTGGTTAATCCCATAGCAGTACCTACAGTTGCTTGAGTTACCACAAGAGGAATTGATGGCCACAGGCTAGCCTACAAAAAAAAAAAAAACAGTGCACAAAATTTATAAATCTAACAAGTAAAAGATAATAAAATATCAACTTGATAATTTTGCTATCAGAAAGTATTCATTAATCAACAGATTAAGAGTTTGCTTCTGTTCCCATCAAGTGGACTTGCCACAATAGCATTTTTATTAGAACAAGGTTAACTGACATTGCCAGAGAGAAAATTTAAAATATAACAAAACAGAAAAAATATATTCTTTAACATATTTTTTCTTACACAACATAAATGAAAAATATATTATTTAAAACTATTTACACATGTAAAGGTATCTCTTACAGAAAAAAAAACATTGTGATGTACAAAACTGTTATACTGGAACACACCTATTCTATTGTTAATAGACTCTCCCACCTATAATAAGTAGGAGTGGTAGTTGTCGCTAAGGAGCTCAGGAAGTTGGTCAGTCAGTCAATGTCGGACGACCGTTAGTCGGATATTAAAGTATCAGCCACCACAACTAGATTGCTGCGTCATTAACTATTATATCAAGTTCCTAACATTTTGTACGTCGAACCTATTTTAGGACCAACTTAGTGAAATACAAGCCTCCACTATGACATTACTCTATAACAAAAACAAAAATTATCTAGTCCCTTAGTTTAGCAAAGCTTCTAGGTATACAATATTAATGTTTCTCAGTATTTGGGCATCCAAACCTTAAGAAAAAAAAAAAAAAAAAATAACTAAGCTAGCTACTATAGGAAAATCATAGAGAAGTCAGATTGAGGCCAGCAGTCATAAGATTGCCCTTATACTTAGTTATGGCATAACTGGGAATTAAAGTGGCTTGAATTCAAAGAGCAAGTCTGTTGAAATTATAGAGATCCCACTCTTTTGGCTACAATAATTAGGATAGTTGCCTCAATGACATGGGTAAAGCTGTTTGACAGACAAGTTCTAATGCACAACACTAGAGGTTCAAGATATCTGAGAAGCATGATGGGTATCCTAACTTTTATTTGAAATCTGTGGGTTAGAACAGCTACAGTTAAGACAGTTGGATTGTGGACAGCCTTAGAAGCTGAACCTCCCTTTTATTTTGTTGATTGTACCATTTTTTGGAACAAGAATATCTTGCCCAATGGACAAACAATTACTTTGTGTAGTTTGCACTGCTTGCTCACTTTAACACACATTTAAAACAGCTGAAAAATAAAATTTTAAATCAAGTTTAATGTTCAATCCTGAAATATTCAGAAACAGATTTGCATGTTTTTCAAACAAAACAGAAATAAATAAATAAATTGGACTTTTGTTAGCACATCAAGTTCTTTCATTTGGCTGAACAAAGTTACTTTAATCCAAAAGAGCAACAAATTAATTTTTTCTCTAATGACCTCAGAGGCTGAATCTGTCCTAACATTTGTGAGGTTAAAAACATTTTTGTGCTTCATAGCAAACTAAAATATCTACATTTTGCTGGAAATGTTATGCTGTATTCGTTGATGACCACCCCTGCTACACATTTTTAACAATGATATTCATCCTGTACAATGCCAGAGTAGAGGGTTACAGAGTAAGAGGCACAGTTTATGGGGATATGTGGGGAAGATAACGGTTAACTCTAGACTTGAACAGGTTAAGATTGTAGTGATCAGAGTGCATCATCTTGGGAGTCGCTTCCACAAAACATCGGTTTGTGGGAAGAAGTTACTTGAGTGGAACCTTCATCTCACTAAAGGAATACAAAAGTGGTTCATTCTAACGAGCATGACATGGAAGGTCTTAGCTGTGAAAGTAAAAACAGGTGGAACTAAGGAATGTAGTAAGAGGCTTGCAAGTTTCATTTGTGAGAAAGGGGGTAGTAGGGTGAAAACTAATTTGCCACCCAGAAGGATACAGAGATACTTTTGGTCTATTAATACTGAGCAAAAAGGAAAAAAAAAAAAAAAAAAGACTATGTAGCTCCTGCTCATATATGGCTGCAGTACTCCATTTTTGGCCTGATCTGGCACTTGTAAAGGTAGACAATAGCAGGAGGAGCCAGGAACTTACTAGAGTGTTACAAGGAACCAACCATTTTTCCAGCCTCTTTTGCAATAGATCATATGTACAAGTTCCACTTGAGGTCTGGGTTGAGTTTAAGTCCTAATAGTGGCTCATGGCATAGGGCCTAACTGAGGAAACATCCGTTCATTGTGATAAGTGATAGTCCTGGTCCAATTGGTGATGATAGCATGTCGCCAGTTTGGTTTTCAAAGCATTGAATGTGACCAGCCTGTCCCCTCTACACACACACACACACACACACACTAAAGATCAGCTGCCAATATCTGATCATCTAGAGTTTTGGAGGTGCATCCATATATTGTTGTATCATCAGCATAGATATTCACAAATAATCAGAGTATACTCTTAGACAAATCATTTATGTAAGTAGAAAGAGAGTTGAACTGAGAAGTGAATCCTGATGGACATCTGTGTTGATCACTAGGGCCTTGGAGGACTGGCCATTAACAACTACCTTCAGGGACCAACCCATTAGGAAGCGATTCCATAGCTAGATAGTGTGTCCAGTAATCCTTTATGTGACACCTTGTTGTGAAGGCTTTGAAATATCTAATGCTGTCTGGGAAAACTTTCTAGTATTGTCAGTGGAATCTATTGAGTTTGAATCATAAATAATTTCCATTTTTGGGAACCAGTTGTGATGATGAATGTATCCTAATTAACCATTCCATAAATATATCATAACAGATAACAGCAAATAGGTTACAAACAACAATGTTCAGTACAATAGCAGTGGAATGACAAGGATATGTCTCCACAAACAATCCCAAAAGATGAGTTCCATGGAATGAAAATAATGTTGTGTATGTAGCGGAATTGTCAAGGTATTTACTCATTTAGAGTTCTTAAAATGCAGTAAAAGACTAAATGCACATTTATACTTCCAGCAGCTGCAACAGGTCTATAAAGGTTTAGTCAAAAAGTGCCCTTCACTTGTCAATAGGAAAAATGATGTTTTTTCATAACAATGCAAAGCCGCATACAGTAAGAATAACACAGGTAAAAATTTTGGAACTTGATTGATTTGTTTTACCCCACCCACCAGATGTAAGGGGTGATGTGGTCACAGGAATTGTCTGACAGCTTGTGTGGCATGGTGCAGAATTCTGTTGTCAGACATAGGGTCTTCCAGCAGCCACCCTCTTGACCCAAGGCAGCACTAACTCTCAAGGCACTTAATGTAGGCCTATGTGTTGAGTCTAAAGCCTTCACCAACAAATTCAAGAGTTCTTTTCTTATCAGAATAATCAAAGTGAGATTTCTGAGTTGCCGTACCTTCATAATCATCATTAGACTCATCTAACACTTGCTGAATGCTCTACACCGTCCTCAGATTGACACCCAAACATACTGAAATGTTTGTATTAGAGCTTCCGATGTGAATGTCAAGCAGTACAGCATTCCATTTCAAAATTCCTGGCAGAGTGAATTGTGTTATGGTGTTCTTTTTCTTACAGATGGTGCCCAACTGACCCTACTAAACTGTGCAGTTGACAAAATCAAAAATAAACAACATGCATGTGCAAAATGAAAAATATAAAATGGCGACAATTTACACATCGCACCCTGTATATGTGGGAGATATTTTTGCTGCACTCTGTATAAGTAACAAGGTTTAAGGCTCAATATGTAGAATCAGTGTGTTGTAGCTTGTTTATCATATAACTCAAAAGAAAAACTTTAGCCAGATATAGAATATACTTGAAAACAATAAAAATAACTACATATTATAGAAATTATTTTTGGCGACTAACTTTTTTTTTTTTTTAGTATTATCATTTCGTAAGTTACCAATATTTTTACTAATTAAAAAAATAATTATGGTACTCACAGCAGCAAAAGAGTAAGTAATACCAAGCCAGATGGTGGAAACAAGAGGAGGTACAAATGAGAAAGCCAACAAACCAAATACAGGAATGGTTAAAACTGCACACAGTACTGCAAGGACACCTCGCTGACCAAATACATCCTTAGAAAAAAAAAAGCAGAAATAAAAGAAAATGATACATAGTGGGTTAAAATGTTTGTTTCAAATGCTCACATACATAAAAACAACAGTTTCACAAGAATTTGTTTTTAATTGATTATCGATCTTCCAAATATTGTATTTCTTATTTTATTTAACTATTCCGATCTTTGAATATTTTGTCATCCTGGATGACAACATTCACAAAGAGTTTAGCAAGAATTACACCCTGCCCAAAAATTGTTAAAATAGTTCTAGTCCCTTAAGTATTTCATATATTCTTTTACTAAATTCTTCTGTTATTGCCCTTTATAAATCTCTGAAACTGACAAAAGGATATCTTAACCCATATTCTCACAAGCATATATCAAAGTTTAATTTGAGTAAATAAATAAACCTTTGAATAATAGGTATAATGAAATTGGTACACTTTCAAGTCATCATTGATTACTCAGTGAGACTTACCTTACATCTTTCTTTCACACAGTCTATTCACAAGTTTGAAAGTTTGTTTTTTTTTATTTAAATATTTTCAGATAATTAGGAAAGAAGCAAAAGTAAATTTTTGCATCATTTGAGAAAATAGAGACATTAAATAACCATTAAAACAACTTTAATGAAATAGCTTTTGCTGGTCATTTTTATTTTAATTACATCCACTAAAAAAAATTAAACAGAAGTGAATAATTTAATAGAAAAAAGAAGCTTAATCTAGTACCATATTTATTTGGTACATCTTTTAAGATGTGGTATCAAAAGCATAAGTAAAAAAAAAAAAAAAAAAAAAAACTACTATCAATAGTCATGTAAATTATGTGAAAAAAAGGTTTCCTTTAAAATTACAAAGAAGAAAAATAGATTATAAAAACAACAACTAATAAATAATTCTTATTTACATGTGGACTATTGTCCTCATCTCTTGCTATTATCT